GGGGGAATCTTCCTTTCAGGCGTTGCATCCGGTTGACACATGTTCGTAAAGCATTAGCATTGTTGAGTTTAGTTCTTCTCTGCTTCATTGCGTGTTGGAGCTTTTATTTTTTTCGCGCTAATCTTTTTGCCCTTCACAATGTGCCGCCTTTTTTTTTTTTTCCCCTTTCTTTTCCTCCCCAACCATGCATCAGCAAAGGGAAGCACATCCTTTATAAGAAAAAAAAAAAAAAAATAGCCACCCCACTTCACGTTACCATTGCGCAGATCGCCCCTGCGTAGTCGCCTGCCCCCCCCAGTTTTCCACATGAACAGCCGAATACCCAATCGGAGTGAAGTGGACTGTTCCATGGAGTTCATTTTACACATGTGTATGTCACTAAAGAGGAGAAAAGCATGTGTTAATAGGTGACACAAATTTAAAGTGCCTGCCCAAGCCAAATAATAAAAACGATTGGTGTTGTTTCTTCCGAAAGGGGAAAAAAAAAAAAAAATAATAAATACGCAAAAAGGATAGCAAGCAAACAAATGGACAAACAAAAGCACGAATGGCAGTTGGGTGTCTGCTTCCTGTTCTTCCTCTCCACAGTGGTTACACTCATGGGGACAGAAGAGGAGAAAATGCACGCACGTGTGTACGTGCATATGGGTCCACGCTTGCGTGTTAGTCTGTCTGGGTGACCGCCAGGCCGAGCCTAAGTCCGAGTCTCAACCTCACAGCACCATCTTCTTCAAAATGTGTATAATGGTCATGTGTTTCGCACGGTCCTTTTCCATTCTCATCAGCACGTCGACATCCTGAAAGGGGGGTGGGGTGGGGCAGTTGTATTGTACGAATGTGCTTGTGCATGAAAAGTTGCACGAACGACGCGCTTCCGCATGAGAAGTGGCACGAAACGACGCGATTCCGCACAATGACGTGCCTGCGCGCGCCACTTACCCGTATGTAGAGCCGAACCCTGGGCAGGATACGCGACAATTCACTCGCAGCTTCGTTCAGCCCCGCACCCTCGTGCAGAGCGGCAGGAGAATTCAGCCTAGCGAAGTAAGCACTTAACAGTTGAACCAGCGAACGACCCGTCCCAGACATCCGATTACACAAAGAGAATTCCACGTAACTACTCCCTTTGCATTTATTCATTATTTCAACTCTTAAAAACTCCAAACACTGTTCCTCAAACAAGGAGACATTCCTTCGCTCGACTTTTAGGGCTACGTTCAATTTTCGTCTGGAACGCAACACAAAGGAAAAGCCAAAATCGACGTGGTGTTTGTAAACATGTCCTTCGTTCACTTGGAAGAAGGAGGTATCCTCCAGTGGACAATATTCCATTTTGAGATTCATCACGAGGGTTTTTTTCCCCACTTGATTCTTCATCACTGCTCTGTGTGATCCATCCCCTATTTTTTTTTTTTTTTTTTTTTTTTTCTGCCTTGGGGATGCCCCGTAGTGCCGTTGGCTAGCTGGGGTACTGTCCTGTCGAGGGGGGTGGCATCATCAGGTTCCTCCACTGCGCGTTCTTCGCTTAGGCTTTCCACCCCTCCGCGCTCATTTTTTTGGGGTCTAACCCCTCCCTCCATCACGCTTGCTCCTCCGTCACGACGCGCATCCCACGACACATCCGTCTCGTCTTCCCCCTCGGGGCTCTCCTCGAACCCTTTGCAGACGGCCCTCTGGTCTCGCTTCTTGTCGCTCACCTCTCGCACGCGGAAGGCTATTCTTTTCCCCTTGGGGGTGGTGGCAGCTTGTTGTGAGATGGCCTCCGACGATTGGTTTGTTGTCATGCCTTCCTCTTTCCCACTCACGTCGCTTAACTTTTCCTCCTTCTCGTTCACTCCTCGCATGTCCGCCTCCTCCCCACTGACGCCGCTTAACCGTTCCTCCGCCACGAAATCCCCCAAGCTCTGCACAACACTGTGGTAGTAAAAGCAATCGGCGAGGAAGACATTGCTCGCGCACTTCACCACGCAGCTCCTCTTTCCCTCCAGGTAACTGCTAAATACATCCTCATCAACAAAGATGGTGTTATGGATTCTACGCTTTCTGCTTCTAAAAGGCTTCAAAGTGGGTTCTTTCTGAAGTTGTCCTTCACGAATTCTCCACTCCTCCAAGTGGTTCCACGTGCTGTATTCCTGCATCAAAATTCTAATATGTTCATCTTCCTCGTCTTCCGTAGCGACACTCTCAGCTCCGACCTCCTCGTACAACCGCCCCACCCCCTCCAGCATTTCCACCTCTTCTAGCTCCCGCACCCGTTGTAGCCTCTCCATCCTTAACTCCTCGCGACTTTCCCTCAACACAGTCTGGTACTCCTCCCTAAACACATGAAACGGCAGGGTACGATTATTCGGCTTCCTGAACAGGTGCAGGTTCACATCTCGTGGGCTCGAAACCCTCACTTGGCACTTTTCATTTATGGCCCCCCAATTTATTTCCCTAATGTTACACAGCTCCTCAAAGCTCACGCGATTCTCCAACAAGTACTCTACCCACATCGAGTATATGCAGCTGAACTTTTTCTTCTTCTTAGTCAACCCTTTGACGAATTCCACATAACTAGCCAGGCTAAAAGGCGCGCTATCTGACTCCTCCACCGCCTGACTCGCTTCGCTCCCCACATAGTCTCCCTGCTCATACGCCTGCACAATCCTCGTCTTCCACTTCCTCCACAGATTTGAAGACCTTTCGTGTCCTCGCCTTGCAGCTTCTATTATGTATTTGTTCTGTTGTATGTCCGGGTTGAAGTCGAAGCAGTTTTGAAAAATCAATTTTAGGTCCTTGTAGAATTGCCATGGGTTCTCGTAGACCCCAAGGACTAGGTTCCTCGACACAGTCGTGTAGTCCATGGGTCTCTTTATTTTTTTTTTATATTCGCTCTTAATCTGGTCATTTAAATTTTTGTCCTCCAACACCGGGGTGGTGAAGTAGAACGCGGTGCTGCTGTCTCTGATCAGATTGTGCAACACGTGGTCCCTGATTAATCTCCTCCACTCCTCGGCTAGCGGTTCTATGGCTGCTGCTGGGGACGCTACTCCGGGTTCTACTCCGGCTTCTACTCCGGCTTCTACTCCGGCTTCTACTGCACCCACTGCTGCGCCCCACTTATCGGTCGAACTGGTGCAACTGGTGCCGCTAGCCCTCAGGTTGGTCCCCCTGCTCACCGTCACACCATCGTCCAGGGAGAAGCTACCCAGGCGCAACCGCACTCTGAAGGGCGTAGGGCCCCCCTCCCCGGGCTTCTTCCCCACGAGGAGGCTACTTGGTTCCACGCTAATGGGAGACGAGCTTCGCTTCCTGTTCGTATGGTCGTCGTCAGCTCTACCGCCGGAAGGGCGCTTCCCCTCTAACTGCTGCTCAGCACTATCGCCACTGCCCTTCGACCTGGGTAGGGTCTTCCCCTTCTTTGCCTTTTCCTCCTTCTCCTTCTCCTCCTCCAATGCGATCTTGTTTGACTGCACCAGCATCTGCGCCAAGGACTTCTCATCCTGTTCACGCAGCTCCTTCTGCATGGACGAAAATTTCTTGGCCTCCTTCGTGCCTCTCATGGAGAGAAGTAGTTTGTAGAATTCCCCCTCGTACGTTTTCCACGCGTTGCATCTAAGTTGGTACAGATTCTGTTTCTCTTTTGGGTTCTTCTCCATTTCTATGGCTAGTTTGATTCTGTCAAATATGATCAGCATGTCGCGATGGAAATCATCTTCTCCTTTATACAAATCGTAATGCAGTTTGTTATAAATAACGTCTACATTCACTTTTTCCAGGAATGGCCAGTTGTTATTTTTTCCTGCATTTGCATCTGTGGCTTCTTTACCCTGCTCGCTCGTTATACCCCCCCCTGCTGACTCGTGTCCTTCAAACTGAATCCTATCCTCCTCGTCCTGATCGCCAATCAGCTGAAACACCTGCTTCTTCTTCATTGTGTCAATTATTTGTGAGAGCCTTCTTTTAATGCTTCTGTTCATTTGAAATTTGCCTCCTCCATCGTTCATTCCTCCAGTGGGCAAACCTCCTGCACTTAACTCTTCACTCAATTCAACAGTGATGCTACTCCTGTTGCTGGTGCATTTGGACCTGTTATTTTCTAGCTCTTCTGAATCCGTACTTTTGATTGGATGGCTACCTGAGACGGGTTCGTCTTCTCCTCCTCCTGCTCCTCCTCCTGCTCCTCCTCCCTTACGACTCCCCTTCCCTTTTCCCTTTTCTTGCAGGGAGGCGCTCTTATCTGAGAGGGAGTTATTCACACTCATGGACGACACGGTGTGTGTACTTTTTTTCCCACTTGTCGCGTGGACTACCGTGTCGCTTGTCTTGCCCACTGCCTTACCAAGTGTAGCGTCTCCTTTAATCTTTATTTTGCTTGGGGGAACGATTATCCCTTTCGCTTTCTTCGTATTGTCGGCAGTGCTCTTTTTCCTCTGCTCGAAGGAGCTACCCAAATCGGATGAACTTTTACTTGTGGATCCCTTCCTTGAAGTGACCCCACCCGGTTGTTGTGTCACCTCCCCTGAACGCTTCCCCTTAACAGTATTGCCTCCTTTTCCACTTCTCCCCCCACCCCCTCCCTTGTCTTCCCTCTTAACAGAATCGTTTTGTCTGAGTCCCTCTTTCGACTTCCCCCTCTTCAGGGAATGGTCCCCCCCATTTTCATCCTTCACTCTTTTAATACCACTTCCAGAGGTACCTCCTGTCCCCTCCTTTCCCTTCTTGCTCCTGGTCGTTGAACAATTCTCCCCGTCCTTTTCGTTCGAACTTCTACTGTGCCTCCTTAATAACATTCCACCTCCCTTGACATTCCTCTCACTCCTTCTATTATTCAGTGAGGCTAAATTCGCAGACTCAGTTGCAGCGTCTGCCGTGGTAAAGGAATTCGCCTCCTCTAAAGATTTCTTCCGCTGCGTGCCTTTCCCCTTTGCGGCTTCTCCCTTCGTGACCTCCACCCGATTGGAAGAAGAACCCTTGCCTGTCTTGCTGGTCTTTTTTGGGGGGTCCTCTTGTTCGTTGGTCCCATCGGATACGTCTTCCTCATCGACCTCTTCCAACTCCCCTTGCCCACGCTTGCCCCCTGCTTGTCTTTTAAAATCCTTTTTATTTTTATCACCATGGGAGGTCTTCTTCCCCTTCTCTTCCTTTGCTTGTCCTCCACTTGCACCTTTGCTCGAACCCTTGTTCGCCCCTCCACCACCAGCGCCTTTCTTTGTATCCTCTTTCCCCTTGCTCCCCCCCTTCGCGATGCACTTCTTCCCATCCTTGGACCCTTCCTTCGGGGGATTTCCTTCTCTTATACGTGAACTCCGTCTCGTCTCCATAGCCTCCGAGGTGTACGTTGTGGGGAGGCGACCTACCAGCACGGCCACTTACCAACAGGGGTGAGGGGCAGTACATACAGTCCCCCAAGTGGGTACACCCTCAGCGGATTATAGAATATAAAGGACGTGTTCCCCTAATGGATACCGCACGTGGAAGCACGTCCCCCCGTGTTTGTCGTGTGAAGAGTCACTCAACAAGAGCGGGGGGTCCAAAATGAGTCTTTTCACACCTTGGGTGATCTTCGCCCCAGGGGGGGGAGGGGTTGGGTCAAGTTGTGGGATGCATCAGAGCACACCTCCTCGATCTACTGCTGTACGACTCAGTTGCAACTGAAAGATGGATCCATCTCGCCCAACGGGTAGTAGTAGGGATATCCCTCACTTTTTAGTAGCTGCCCATCAGGGGAGGTTCACAAAAAATAATTATTTCACAATTTATGCAATGTGGCTAGCTATAAAAAAAAAAAAAAAAGTCTTTTTTTTTTTTTTTTTTTTTCTCTCAACTTCTACATGTATGTTTCTTTTCTTCAATTGTATTCTCCCAAGAGGGCCACGAAGTTTCAGTGCCCGCTTTTTTTTTTTTACCACAGTTTTAGTGGAAGTCAAACGGGAGTAGCAATTTTTTTTTTTTTTTTTTTTGGGGGGCAGGGGTCCCCACGCTCGGTGCAGCCCACTTTGCCTGCTCCGTGGCTACCAATGTTGCGCCACTGTTGTGTACGTATGGTAAATGTATTTTTTGTATGTATTTTTTTATTTTATATTTTTTTTTCCCCCCCCTGGCAATTTCGCCATACCCCAGCACGTACGCTTCGTTGTATTCAAACGTTGCGTCATCCCTCCAGTTCTCGTTAATCATATGGCATAAGCATTATATTATATAGCAAAGAGGGGTTTTATTTGAATTTTTTTTTTTTTGTTCCCCTCCCATGGGATGCCGGCAAGCAACCAGTTGAGCGCGGAGACAACTGTCGCAGCTGCTCCTCCTCTTTTTACTTTTCTCCCGCCCCGTTCCTCCAGCTGTGGCCCCACACCATGGCGGAGGTGACCTTTTGTGAAGAATGCAACAACATCTTATATGCACGCAGTGATAGGAAAAACAAAAAGCTGCTCTACGTATGCCGCAGTTGCGAGTACATTTCGCACAAGCCGAACGAGCAGCAAAATATTGTCGCCAGGATTAATTACAACTATAACAGGAAGTAAGTAATGACGAAGCGGTGGAGTGGCCCAGCCCTGGAGCGGCGCTGAAGGGCTAAACCAGCACGCCGTGCATAATAGCTCTGATGCGAACCCTAATAATAAGCTTCCCCCCCCCCCCCCCTTCTTCACCCACTGCTTCCCCGCAGAGAGGACGTGTACATTCACCCGGAGACGAAGAACGACCCGGCCCTGGGACGCGTGCGAGAATGGATTTGTAAAAACTGCGGCCACAACGAAGCTGTCTTTCTACAACTCCCGGAACGAATTAGTAGCAACCCCATGGCCCTCATTTACGTGTGCACGGGAAAAAATTGCCACTACTGGGAAAAGCAAATGCAAATCACCAACGATGAGGAGGACCAGGTACACAGAAGTTCGCTTTCTTCAGAAGCCTCCCTTGTGCAGCATCTCAACCCCTCTGTGAAACAAGAGGCGGAAGAAGATGTTAAAGATATTCTTCCTGGGCAAGGACAAAAACGGAGCCGAAAAAAACTGAGGAAAGTTGGTCAGCAGCACAACGATAGTGATGAGCAAAGTGGAGAAGAGGACCACCACGCAGGACGCGATCGCGAGGAGAAGGAGAAAGACAAACTGAAGAAGGAGCTGCAGGAGTTAATAAACGCCAAGGAGGAGCAGCAGCAGCTGCAGCTGCAGCCAGAAGACGAACACAGCGAACAGGAGGGACATTTTTCTGAGGAACAGGAAAGTGACGTCGACGATTACTTCTGAGGAGGTTATAAGAGAAGTGGGGCGCTGAGCGACAAGCAGCGCAGTTGCCTCCAATTGCAATATCGCCTCGCCCCCCTCTTCATCGTGCCATTTTTTTTTTTTTTTTTTTTTTTGTTGCCTAAAAGAAGCCCTAACGTGTTATTTAGCTGTCCTCTCCCTTGTGCAGAGATTTAAAAAAAAAAAAAAAAAAAAAAAAAAAATTAAAAGGGATCCATCCTCATTGAGGGGGGAAAATATGGATCCGCTGTGAACGGACCCAAAGTCGATGGAGCGGATTGCACCATGTGGTTGCACGCACCGTCCCGGGTGTAGCGGTTTAGCCGTTCAGCCGTTCAACCGTTACGTGGTGGTTGCGTGTGGGTGTGCGTGTGTGGCCGCTTCCCCCGCTCAGTCGGCCGTCCTGTACATGCCAATGATGTCTTGAATATTCCCACAGGGAAAGAGAGGCTTCCCGATGTCTTCATTCACTCTGTTATGAAGATTAAACATAAAGGTTGCCATCTCGGTCCTGCCTTCACAATTAATTTTGTAACTCTTTAGGTGCTCCAAGAGGTCCACCTTGCAGATATAGCAGGGATATAAATTTGCAAAGGCGTTGAAAAAATTATAATGCTTCTTCTTGTCTTCCTCCGTTGGCTGGACTGGGTAGTTGGCCGACATGGTATGCAGGATTAGCCACGACGCTCTTCCTATTTCTTCCCGGTCGGGTGGCTGTATTTTTTTATTCTTCACAATGTTGCTTCCATGGCTGTTTGACTTTTTTCTCTCGCCGCAAGAGTGCTCGTAGCATTTTTCCATCTCCATTTTTGCTGCCCCTGCGGCCCTGTGTCCCCGTGTGCGTGAACGGGGGGAGGGAGAGCGGAAGCAGGCTTAAATTGGTTGCCGATCTGGTGGGGTTCACTCCTTCGCCTTGCCCTCGTTTGCTCAGCAACTGCTTTTGCAACTACATTGCTACTGCGTTGTTACTGCTTGCTTTTTTGTTTTGTTTTTTTTTTTTTTTTCCCTCTCGTGCACAGGGCAAAACGGCTAATTGTGCTCCACCTGCCAGTGCGCACCACCGACGACAATGACGCGCCTACCAGAGGGAAACCTCAACCCGACGCGGGTGGTCATTCACTCTCTCCCTGGGTTAACCAAAACTAACCTCCTTAAAGCAGATAAGCCAATGCCAACACGTTGTGTAGATCCCGTTAATAATGCTCACCTGCTAATGTAAAAAGTGTTGGAATTTTTTTTTTTTTTTTTTTTTTTTTTCTTGTGTAACCTACAAAAATGATCAACGTAAACGTGGGTGTGCTGGGGCACGTGGACTCGGGGAAAACAAGTCTGTGTAGGTGCCTCAGTGAAGTGCTAAGCACCTGCGCCCTGGACAAACACAGGCAGAGCCAGGAACGGGGCATCACCATCGACCTGGGCTTCTCGTCCTTCTACCTAAAAAGGAGGAGAAGCCAAAGGGGCGCGCAAGAAAGTGACAGCCACAGTGAGGAGGTTAAAACGGGGGACATTCTCAATGGCAAGCGTTGTGATGAAGAGCGTGGTGATGGGGAAGTGACGACCGGGGAGGGGAGTGCCGGCCCACTGAACTGCTCCCCGCCCGAGGAGGAGACGCTGCAGGTTTGTCTCGTGGACTGCCCGGGGCACCACTCCCTCCTGAACTGTATAATCATGGGGGCAGAAATAACCGACATGGTACTCCTCCTCATTGATATCACCAAAGGAATTCAAAAGCAAACCGTGGAGTGCCTCGTCTTGTGTGAGGTCCTCCAAAGAGACATCGTGGTTGTTTTAAACAAAATCGATCTTGTCCCTCCTGAACAAAGAAAAACAAGGGTCAACCTCATGAAGGACAAAATAGAACTGGTGTTCAGGAGTAAGCCCGGGTTGAGGAATCTCAAATGGTACGTCGTGGGATTGTCCGCAGACTCGAAGAGGGCAGCACAAGTGACTGCAACGGGGGACGCCCTCACCTCGACCCCCCCAACCGATTCACACGCACATCATGTTAGAGGCAGCGATTGCGGGGCCAGCGCCTCCCCGCCGAGAAGCGAAAACGTGCGTCAACTGATTAACCTCCTCAAAGAGGTCATCAGAGTGCCGGCGAGGAGGGGAAACAGACCACGCGCTGGTGGTGGCGGTAGCGGCAGCGGTGATGAGGACGAAGACGAGGGAGAAGGACAGCCGCGGAACCACCCAGATGAATTTTACTTCCTCTACGACCACACGTTCGATGTGAAAGGAAAAGGAAGAGTGTACACGGGCACAGTCATCCGAGGCACTATCACAAAAAACACCACAGTGTCAATATTACCAATGAAAGAAAAAGGAAAGGTTAAAGCAATTCAAAGTTTTAAGCAGACAGTCGATGAAGGAACCCAAGGGAACAGACTGTCCCTCCTCATCTGCAACGACCACATAAGAAGCACTGGGAAGAAAACTGAAAGAGGTGTTATCGTAACTGAATTTTCTAACATATCTCACTTTACCACTTTTATATGTAGAGTGAAATTAGTTCAGTACTACGGGAGGAGTGTGAATAGTGGTGAGTTACTCTCTTGTGTTATTGGCTTTTCTACCTCCCCTTGCTATGGGTACTTTTTTCGTCCTATTAATAATCACAAGACCACTGGGGGGGAAAACCCATCCCAACACAACAACACAAATAAAAAAAAAAAATTTGACCCGAAAGGAAATTATCTCCTCATCAACCAGCTAACATACAAACAGGAAAAGGAAAACAAAGAAGAAGAAGAAGAAGAAGAAGAAGAAGAAGAAAAAAAAAAAAAAAAAACATCAACTGATAATCTCAACTCAAATGAATACAATACAAAAGACATTGAAAATAAAAACCCCACCAGTGATGAAGATATTTTCTTCTTAGTGATGCTCAAAAAAAAAATACACTGCTATACAAAGGAGAAATGTATTTTTATAAAAAATGAAGAAAATTTAAACTGTAGAATTTGCCTGCATGGAATTATTGAGGATATCGTTGACCATGGTTATCCTCAACAGAAGGCTCCTTTCATCGTGGGAAAAAAACCCACTCTTCATGACTTCCCCCGTTTTAATAGCTTTAAACTGTTAACTCAAAAACGCAAGGTGGGACAGATCGAACGTATACAAGACAACCACACGGTCATTTGTAAAAACATGTTTCAATGCTCTACTCAAGTCACTCCATACATGAGACAACAGGTTTGTCTCGTCCATGCAGGTCACAAAAATGATGTAAGTGATGTCCACGTCAGATACGTTGGTGTTGTAACAGCTCCGTTTGCAAAAAATGGAAAATTCATCGCCCACTTTGAGGACGACCTTTCCTCTGTGAAGGAAAATTACAAATCCTTTCTCCTCCTCATCAACTACTACAAGGACGCACTCACAAAGAGGAAGGTCTTTCTGTGAAGCCGCCCCCCCTCACCCTCACGGAGAAGTCCCTCATGTGCCCCAAAGTGGCAACCACATGTCGACACAGACTCAACTACGCGAGGTGCGGCTCGTTCAAACACTTTACACAAAAAAAGGAAACGGTGCAGGAAAAAAAAAAAAAAAAAAAAAAAAACAGGGGCGGAGAACAAACACATATACACAAAGTCACACACACACACAAAAGGGAAGACAAAATTGCACGCAAGGTAGAACTAGGGCTGCTAGCTAAATGTGGATTAAGCTGGCCGTCCTAACAAAGAACCCTCGTGCCGCTCTCCCCCATCCCAGCCGCGCCACCCCTGAGGGCGCCGTTTTTATTACTCCCCCGCGCCAGACCCCCTTGTCCAACTCTGTCTTCTAAAGCAACTGCTTCACTAATAGCCTCGTGTAGCTTCTTAGCCCTCGGAAGCTCCTCCTTCATGTGATTTAAATTCATTTCAAACTGATCCTTCAGCAAAACTATTTGAGACACAAATGCTTCCACCTGAGCTTGCTCAAACTCTTTTTTTACATCCTCCAGGGAGTACACATGCACCTGTTCGTTAGGAGGGGATCTCCGCAGCTGCGTGTCGTAAAGGGCTCTCCAAATAGTCTCCTCCTCGACTGGCCCTTTGGACTTGACCTGCACGAAGGAGGAGGGTGGCACCTCCACACCGCCGCCAACATGGTCGCCCACATGGCCAATACTGGCCCTCCCCGCCCCCACTTCTTCGAAAATTTTCTGTGAGTTGTCCAGCCGCTCGTAGAACCCCCGCTCGGCACTCCGCGCCTCTTCGAACACCTGAAGCAAGTTCAGGGCCAGCCTTTTCTCCGCCGAGCCCAAATTAGCCAAGTCATATGCCACTGCGTACGTTCTAGTTAGAAGGGATAAACAAGCGCAGCAGCACACAAGAGGGAGGAGGCCTCTTTTAAACAGCTTCATCCTGTCACTGACTGGTTTGCACAGCGGTGTGTGGGCAGGCTATATCACACTTTGTGTTATTTTCCAAACTAAAAGACTTTCTTATTTATTTATTTTTTTTTTTCTCTCTCTTTATAATGCCTTCTTCCTAGTGCTGATTCACCACCCCTGCGATGCAAAATTGACAAGGGGAACAAAACAAAAGGAGTGTAATGTCGCATCCACTGCGAGTCATACTTGACGTGGGGGAAAAGGTCAAAAAGGAAAAAAAAAAAAAAAAAAAAAAAAAAAGTCCAAAGGTTGAGAGACGAAAAAATGTAACTAATAACATTCACAAAAAAGGTTGTCTTCTACTCCAAAGGAAGACTCCTCCTTTTTCCTTTTTCAAAGGAGTAGCTCTCCCCTGATGGTATGTGCTGTACATACATAAGGTTCCGTGGCCACACCCGCCAAAGGAACTAACCGAATAAACGGACCATCACCCCCTTCCTTGCCTTCACTCTTTTAAAAAAACGTGTGCCGGTAACGTCCCAAGGAACTTCGATCTTTTGTAGTCTGAAAATCTGCGCGACGGAAAAGGAGGGACGACATGTGTACATACACGCCAATGTCCAAACGGAGAAAAAAAAAAAAAAAAAAAGAAGAAGAAGAACGTGCGCGTTAAGACAGAGTCCACGCTGCACTCGTGAGCGGGGGATCCGCGCGACGCGCCTCTCTTCCAACCTGCCCGTGGCCACGTTCCCGAAGAAGGAGCCCAGGTAAATACCCGCAATGGAAAAAAAAGGTGCGACGATCATTTTGCTCTTGGCGTCGTAGTACTTGAACTTGTTCAGGCTATACAGGGGTAACAGCAGGAAGCCTGCACGGGGAAGAAGAAGGCGTGGAAGCGATGATGAACACACGTAAAGGCGTCCTTGTGGAAAGTCACCAGTCGGGGAAACGCTTAACATATCTGTTCTCTACGAGGCTACTTACCCAGAAAGGACCACAGCTTACACTGGACCTGCGGTAAATTCGGAAAAAAAAAAAAAAAAAATTAACTACTACATTTCAGTAGCGGTGAAAAAAAAAAAAAGAAACCATTACAAAGCATAGCAACACAACAACGTTGTCGAGTGTAAGCACAGAACAATGCGAGGCAGTAAATATGAATGACCCTATGCAGAGCGTTATTCCCCCCCTTCGTGGTGAACCGACCTGCTTCTCAATATCCGTCTGTCTTGTATTTAAAATGTTAATAATATTAATCGAGTTCACGTTTTGACTTTCACTTGGATCATCTGTGAGAGGAATAAAAAAAAAAAAAAAAAAAAAAAAATCGTAACGGTTAAAAAGACCAATTGGTAGGAGCAGTGTGTACAAAAAAAAGGAACCCATGACAGGGGGAAACACTCGCCACGAATGAACATATCCCAATGACAATATCTCAGGTGATTCATCTCCATCCTCCCTACTTTCATAAACATTCGAAAGGACCTTAATCACGTCATGGCTACTCAATTTGTTGCAGTTATTTCCAATGGTGAAAAAGGAAAAATGGATAAACAGCCTCTTAAAAATATTGATTCTTCTCTTCTCATTCTTTCTCGCGTACTTGTGCTCGAGAATTGTGATGTCCGATGGTACCTGTCATGGGGAGGTGGAATAAGTGGCGGTCAATTGGGCAAAGAATAACCACGTGTGTTACGTGGAAAGAGATCCACATCAATGTACAGCGCAATCCGATCAACTCGTAAACTATTATTGTGTAGGTAGGTTGTGAGAGGGGAAGACCATGAACACTGTAAGGGACGACCCAACTCTATAATGTGTACTTTCCCTTCTGAAACTTCCATTTGATTTTTACCTTAACGTAGGACATCGTAGTTACACAGGGACGTAACAGTCGAGAGGGGTGGGGGAAAAAAAAAAAACTATTAACAAATTATCGCTTAAGTTTAATTTCCAAGTTTTCCTATCATTTGGAACGAACACATGGAGTAAGCTCTTCTCATTTTCTTTTCTTTTTTTTTTCCTATGCAATAAGGCACACAAGTTAAGTTTCACTTCTCGAAGCACAAGTAAACGCAAAAGGTGAATATGGGGAGTATCAAATTATCTATGTCATGGAGAAATGCCTTTAAAAAAAAAAAAAAAAAAGAAAGAAAAAATATGCCTGAACAGGTCATGCTAAATTTTGCTTGAAATGGCGTATTTTTCCTTGCAGGGTCAGGCAAAAATGTTATATTTTTTTTTTTTTCGCTAGTTCGCCTGTTCCTCACCTCGAATAGGGCACCGAAGAGGGATACCATAAAAATGGCGGTCAAATTGGCCAACGGCCTTTTCTGCGGAGTGGTGAAGCGGTGAAGCAATGGAGCAGCGAAGCAGCGAAGTGGCGAAGGGCAGTGTGTTAGTGTGCTGCTTCACGTCGGACCTACGCTCCTCTGAACAGGGCACGCGTTCCCAACACACACGTGTGTACTTCCCCGCAGGGGTGTGCACCCAGGGGACGATCTGCAGCAGTGCGTTGCGTTCCCGCCCTGAAGTTTCCCTCTCGCCTTTCCTACTTGAACGAAGTAGCCGTCAAGCAAAAGCGATAAAAATGTAGAACAAAAAAAAAAGAACAATCCTGCAGGTTGAGTGAAGATGTACAAGGGGGAGATACAATTTGTGATAGAAAAACGGTTGAGTCTCTACACGGTCAGGACTTTGTGTGCGCTAGTATTTGTTTTTGGCCAAATGCGTTGCCAACTGCCTGACTTGTTCAGGTGTTTTCGTTCCCTTCCGGCTTTTCCTTCACAAATTATCTCCTTTTTGCCCCACCTGCATACGACTTGTTGTTCGTGTTTTTGATCTTCGGGGTGGGGAACAGAAGCCCCCCGATGGCAGCCTGCGGGGGGAAAGGACAATATTGGGGTGATAAATACTCACGCGAGTGCTGGGCGACGTCCCGGGAAAAAATGATCGAGCGGTTAATGTACACGGGAGTTAACGCCGCCAAACGCGCCCCGAGTACAGGAGGTTGCCTAACAAATGAGTCGCCTATGCATATGGCATTCAGCCCCGAGCTGTAGAGAGTCAGGTCGGCGTCCCGGAAGAGGAAGACACTTCGGGTTCCCTTGCGCACGTAGTTCTTGTTGTTCAACAGTGCGTCCGCGATGATTGGGATGTACACCCTGGGAAAAAAAAAAAAAAAAAAAAAAGAAAAACAAACGAATGAATGAGTGAACAGAAAATGGGTTTTAACACCATGAACAGATCCGCTTCATGTTGAAAAATGGCGCATTCCAGGGTGCGCTTCTCTCCCTCCAACAGTACCCAGCCAAGAGGTAAATGTGCGTAACGACAAGACCCTTCCTATCTCTATCGTCAATAAAACTGCAAAGGGGGGATGCATGAACACGAACGGGTGTAGCGGCAAAACGCACACACCGCTTCTGCACCGCTTCTGAACCGCCTCTAAACCGTTTGCTTGATAGGACGTGTGGCTAGCTGGCGCAAACCTGGTGATGAACTTATGCAGCGTGTTCCGATCCGGCGACAGCGCTTCGCCGATTTTTCGCGCGACTTCCAGGAAGAGCAGAAGGAGAAATGCGAAGGAGAGGGTCACCACAAGGATCTCCACCTGCGTTAGGGGGCATTAACAGGGTTAGTAACATATTAGTCGCGTCAAGCGCAAAGGTGATCATAGCGGAGGAAAAAAAAAAAAAAAAAGAATGGTAGATCGCGCCACCACCGATTACCTTCCCCAAGCAAAAAGACAACTGGGCATTCACAAAGAGCAGGAAATGGTAGTGCTTCCTCAGGTAAGACAAGTTTCCATTTCTCTTCACCAACTTGAAAATGTAAATTACGTACAGAGTTGTGATGACGACCCAGGCAAAAATTAAAATGTAATTCTGTTGGTGCCATAGCAGGTGGACTAAAGCTTGTATCGCGCTTGTGTCTGTAAAAGGGGGAGAAAAAATGAAATTTTTTTAACCGCAACAAAAATTAACACAAACAAACGTAACCGCGCCTTGGCAAAGTCGCACACTGTATGTGGAGCATCTGTCCTGTCTGCCTACCCGCTGCACTCACGAAGTCGTATCGTCTGGCGCCGAGGTTGATGAGGTTGTACAGCAGGAACGCCAGCGAGGCGATGAGAAGCTTCCCCTTCTGGTAGTCGGCCTGCCGTAGCAAGTAAACACAGCACGCGGCGTAGAGGGTCAAACTGAGGGCCTGTTTGGGGGAGCAGCAGGAAGGGTTAAGCAGTAAAAGCAGGGCAGAAGCAGAAAGGATTGGAAGTTGTGCAGGGAACAATTGGGTTGAATACCCAACTGCATGACACATTACCGCCCCACTGAGGAACACAGACAACACACTAGGAATGACGCCCCCGTCCAGGTGGACGTGGAATAGGCCGTATGCGTAAGCGTCGAGGAGGAGGGTCCCCGCCACGCTGACTGTCGCCCCCTCCAGGAAGGAAAACACCCTGCAGGGGGAAAATAATAATAATAAAACAGGCAAGTGTGCCCGGAAGCATACTGAAGGGGAAGAAGCAACTGTCATTGTAGCTTTCATCACAATCAGCACGTCCACTTCCGCTTCCGCTCCCGCTTGTGCTCCCGCTTCTGCTGCCTCTTCCAAACGGATGCGCGACGCTTACCCGTCCGTCAGCCGAAAGGCCGCTATGGCGATCATGTGATAAAAGACAAAGTTGAGTACAAACCAGAGGGAACAGGTGGCCAAGCTCTCGCGAATTCGCATTGCGCCTGTGGGTTTGGGGGAAAGGGGGGGAGAAGCGGCGCAGAAGGCACGTCGTTTGGAAGTGTCTCCGGGGGTGCCTCACCCCTACATCGTTGTGGTAGCGGTGTGGGGTAAGTGGCAAGGTGCCAAGGTGGCCCTACCCAGTGTTGCGAGAAAGAGGAGCGAGTGGAAGAGGAGGTAGGTCCAGACATTCACCCGCACATATCGCAGGAAGACGCTGCCGAGCAGGAACTCGTTCACGAGGGCAAGAGACAGCTTCGCCGCGCCTAGGGAAAAAAAAAAAAAAAAAAAAAAGACGAAACGGGTGCAAGGTGACCCGACTTAAGATGAGACAAGAATGGTGAAACCCGCCCCACAGGAAAGGGGGCAAGACGCTCCACTCGAGGGCTCCCCCCCCGGCACAGGTGAGGATTCTCTCCACGCTTTCACACTAACCAAAGTTTAGAAAATCATATTTCGAAGCCAGCAGGGTTAAGAGGAAAGGAAAAAAAAAAGAAGGAAAAAAGTTGCTGCGATATATCTGCACGAACAACTGCCAAGTGCTAATAACCCCCTTCTCGTACAAACGCAAAAATGTTATGGGCTGCTCATTTTTGTTGAGGAACCCTAGTGGGATTTTTTCCCTGTGCTGATATGCCCCGATGGTTAAGGTGGGACTCCTAAATGGGTTTCCACCTCTACGTGGACTTGTTTCATTTTCTGTCCCCGGAGAAGAACCCCCCCCTTTTATCATCTTCCACTTGCTTTTACTTCCTTTCCTGCTGTGTGCCAAGAGAGAGACAACCAGCACACTGCACAGCAGCGTTAGGAACACCCACAAGTATGTGCAGTGGTTGGTATACAGAATTTTCCTCCGCACCTCGGTGGTTAGGATGAGCGAGATTAGTATGCCCCTTATCATGGTCTCTCAAATTTTGTTTGTACAAGGGTCTACCCCGACAGGGGGGGGGGGGAAACGCTGGGTTTGGGGGGTGTGCAAAGGGGTGTAACTGCTCACACGTGGGGAGACCCATTGGGGCAAGGCTGTCCACGTGATTAGTGATGTGATTAGGCATGTGCTGCCTCACCGCAACTGCCGTTCGAAGCTGCCTTTTCGGCAGGCGCCACGCCTTTGGCTCATGCTAGGGGTAAAGGTTGAAATGGGGAAAAAATTTGAAAAAAATTTGAAAAAAAAATGAACAAAAAATGAAAAAAAAAAAAAAAGTGAACAGCTTGCACTAAGCATTGACATACACGATGAAAACAAATTCATATCACTTAATGGTGGGTAGTCGAAAGAAATGTGACCCAAATTGACACAAATGGAGGCACCCCCTTTTTTTTTTTTTCTCTCTCTTTTCTTCCCGCGCGGATGAAGAGCAACCGTTCTTGCGGGACCCCAATTTTTTTGTTCTTCCTTTTTTGACGCTTCGTTTGTCCGCTTGGCAAGTGTAAATGCCACTTGCGCGCAATGGTACATAATTAAAAAAAAAAAAAAATTATAGTACCCAACGAACGGTTGCAATGACGCCACCACGCATGGACGGCCTGCTTCTTATAAATCGCGGCTCCACACCGCTTTAACATTCACAGCACACTACGGTAGCCGAAGAGGTCCCTGATGTTCCGAATATTGTACTTTATCATGGTGGGTCGCTCGAGGCTAAGACCCCAGGCGATGACGGACACCTCCGCAGGGAAGCCCATGGCGCGCAGCATCTCAGGGCGGAAAATGCCACTGTTGCCAACCTCCATCCACTTTTTATTTTCCTCATGGTACCCGTACACCTCCATGGAAGGCTCCGTGTAAGGGTTGAAAGTCGGCTTGAACCGAAGCTTCGAAATACCAATGTATTTGTAAAAGGCCCCCAAAGTGCCAATCAAATGAGACAGACCCAAATTCTTATCAATGATGAGTCCTTCCACCTGATGAAATTCAGCCAGATGGGTACTGTCTAGATTTTCATTTCTGAATACCCTATCTATACTAAAATATTTTTTTGGAATTATAGAACCCGTTTTTTGATATTCTTTGGCTAGCTGGTATAAGGCTCTACAGGAATTAGCCGTGGTGTGGGTTCTGAGGACATTCTTTTTGGTGCTCTTCAATTCCCAAGGGTAATTCCATCCAAAGCTTCCATAATCTCCCACAGAATGAACACGCTTCACATTATCAATGTAACTCTGGTCTGTGAAATTGTCCTTGCATAACTCAGGAGCTTCAATAAAAAATGTGTCCTGCAGATCCCTACTGGGGTGCTGCTGAGGGATGTACAGAGCATCGAAGCACCAAAAAGAAGATTCCACATAATTGTGTGTATCCATTTCTTCAAATCCGAGGGAAATAAAAACTTCTTTGAATGTCCTCATTTGCTTAATTAATAAATGGACATTCCCCTTATTCATTTTTTTCCCACTAGAAAAAAAATTATATTTCTTTACTTCATACTTTTTATATTCTTCATTTTTTATTAGTAGGTAGGTGAGGTCGGTAATCTGTTTTTTAATTTCTTTTGTAAAATGGTTCGTTCGTACAATGTACATGTAGGATACTTTCTTCACCTCAATCAATTTCCTCTTCTTCAAATCTTTAATCAGGTTGTTTACCTCTTCGTCCTTCTTTCCACATGTCACGATGTCCTTCAAGTGAGACACAAGTGTACCTTCATCATGTCCATGCGTTTCTACCATGTCGAGGTGGCGCCTCGTCTCATCCACTAGACTGTTCGCACTACCTTCCACATGATGACATAACCTTTTGTCGCTTTTTCGAAGTTCTATTTTTTTTTTTTTTAAATTAATATTCAATCCAATATCTCCCTTTTTCCCAAATAGCTTCTTCAGATCTTCGAGGCTGCATGTTTGCTGTTCCACTACATACTTCAACGTTACGTATTCTGGGGACCCGTCGCGCAGGTACTCCTTTCCTTCCTCCGTCAACTGGTATGTGTTGAAACTTCTAACATGATTAACGACGTAGTATAGGGTCTCCAACTTCTTTGCCATCCCCAGGACTTTAATGTGCTCAAGGTTGTACTTTTTGCTCATGTGTAATGACGTGACGTATTTTGTTTCTTCCACCTGGACGTTCTTCTCCTCCTGCAGCTGGAGGTAGTATGCCCGGTGGTTCGCTAACTCCTCCGCTTCTGCATTTCCCAACCAGGCGTCGTCTACTTCCCTCTTTTCCCTCATGTCGTGACACAGGGCAAACTCCTCCTCCAGAACCTGCATAAAGTGGTTCAGCTCCTCGCCCTTCTGCTCTTCCTGCCCCTTCGCCTGCATCTTGGTCTAACACCCGAACGTTAACACCTTTTTATCTTGGCGCGTCCCTTCTCTCCCCCCCTACGGTTGTTTGGTTCACACCGATGGGGCGAAACTTCTGCAAATGCGCTCGTACAGCTAACACCTATACGGGGCATGTACATGCAACAGCTAACTGTTTGCCACCCTTGCAGAAGTCTTCAACTGGGGAGGAATTTTATATCACTACAGGAGCGGCAGGCATACTACTATTTTGTTTGCTCACCTCCTCTAACAAACGAGCCACCAAAGGATTACAAACAAAGAAGGGGGAGAAAAGCATATATAAAACCTTTTCACATATGCGCTTCCGCTCCAATTGGGGGAGTCTCCTCCCTTTTCTGCAACTGCGGTACGCCACGCGGGCACGTCAACGCGAAAAGCGAAGTGGTTAGAAGAGCGAAGCGTGCATAAAAACGCAGCGCAGTCCAAACAGCGAAGGAAAAAATCAACCCTTCGAAAAAGCTACAATGGAATGCAATCCAAATAGGAATGGCTTTTTCTGTTTTTTCTTTTTTTTTTATTATTTTTTATCCACCTGTGGACTCAGTGGATGCCACCGTTCTCCTCTTTCACGCAGGTCGGGCTGTTCTTTTTTTTTTTTTTTTTTTTCTTTTTCGCGTCGCCCCCCATCGGCATTTATATATATGTGCCGCCTCCAGGATGGCGTTGATCCCCACTCCATTTCCCCTTCGTCTATGCAGCTAGCTTTTTTTTTTTTTTTTTTTTTTTTTTTTTTTTTTTTTTTTTT